TCTCTAGTAATCATTAGTCACAATTATGTAGACAGCACCCGGAAGAGTGCAGCAGCCATCTAGAAATGACAGATCCCTGCCCCAGGGAGCTTACACTTCACCCATTAACCCTCACAATGTCCATGGGATCTCGCAATTATCCCACCTATCCGGGGGGAAAGGGGTAGAGAGAGATTAAGGCCACAAAGTGAGTCAATGGTGGAGCTGGGACTAGAACCCCATTGTATCTGGCTTCCAGCCCCACATTCAGTCTGTGGGACTCATCCTGCCACCCAGGATATATAGCGTAGCCTGTTTCATCAGTTCTTTTTTTGCCTATAATTTTCTGTATCCTGTTTCTTTACCAGTGAATTTCAAAGTGGTCAGCCCTGCTCAACCCCTCATGGTGTCTGTGGGTGAAGATGCCCTGTTGCCCTGCCACCTCAGCCCCAGGATGAATGCCGAGGACATGGAGGTGAGGTGGTTCCGGTCCAGCTTCCCTGAAGTGATCCATTTGTATCAGGATGGGAAAGACCAGCCCGAGCAGCAGATCCTGGAATACCAGGGGAGGACAGAGCTGCTGAGAGACAACCTCACTGAGGGAAGCGTTGTCCTGCGAATACACAGCATTAGGCCTGCTGACGAAGGACAATACAGCTGCTTCTTCCAGTCTAGCACCTTCTATGGAGCAGCCTTGTTGGAACTGAAGGTGGCAGGTCAGTAGTTTGGGCTGATCTGTGGATTCTCCCAATTAGGGTTGCCACATTTTAGAAAATAATTGATGACATTTAGTTGCTGTCAGGTGAACACTGACTTAAGTTTTGTGAAGTTTGTCACACAGCCATCTTTATTCTGATTTCAGTAATTTCGTATTCTCTAAAAAATCTACTTTGACTGTGGGTCTATTACAGGAGTGGGTGGATGAGGTTCTGTGGCCTGTGATGTGCAAGAGATCAGACTAGATGGTCACGATGGTCCCTTCTGGCCTTAAAATCTGAGTCTAATAAAGCTTATACCTTACACTCTCTCTCTAATTCTTTAGCTAAAGTTAAGCGATATTAAAAAACCTATGAGAAAGCTGGTACAGATAATTTATTAGTTAAAATTATTTAACCATTTCATGTTTTATATTATGTCATTCTTATGTTATGGTTTTGCCTAAGTCTCCTTACCATTTATTGGAATGTTTCAAAGTAATCCACCTAGAAGGGACACACACACGTTAAACTCCAAATATAATATTCAAATAATGGTTTAAAGCTATTTTCATCACTCTGGAAGCTAATCAGTGCTGTTGGTACTTATGCCACATTAACCAAAGGTTCAAACAGTTGTAGAAATCTTTAGTATAAAAGCAGATTTAAACTCTTTCCCCTCTTTTTGTAAGGAGATGTCAACTTCTTTTGACCACAAAATGTGTATTACTTCTAGTATGAAATGCACCTGGTTTCTCTCAGCTTTGCTTGCTTACAGCACAGAAAGTTTCCTGTTACAGATAGTGTTAGCTTGATTTATGAGTTCTTGCAGACTCAGCTCTATTGACTTAGTATTTTTAGAGAACCAAGGTTAGCCTTGTTAGTGAAACACAAGTGTACATTATATCCTGAAAGGTATTTACAGGATTTTAACTCCAGTAAAAATTTTCAGTAAAAAACATTTAGCTTAAAAGAGCCAAGTTGTTACTTGAGTAAAAGACATACTTTTATTTTCTATTATATTTGCTACTTATCATTTGGAATTGGTGTGCAGGTGGGCTCTCAGTCTCAATTTGGTAGCTGTAATGACTGGTTTCTTGAGCTGGAAAATGCAGGTCGTTTCCCTTCAAGGTGTTATGGCAGGTGTATTTGAGTTCTATTTCTGGATTTCACAGTGGGTTTCCTAAGGTTGGGTCTAGACTGGAAAGTTAAATTGATAAAAATTGTCTTGCATCAGCCTAGTAGTGCATGTGTCTACATTTACGATGGTCTCCTTCTGATGTAAACAGTCCGTTACATCAACATAGTAACACCGCCTCCCCAAAAGGAGCCAGGAGCAACCTAGTAAGGTAGATGAAGTGCAAGTGCAGATACCACATGACGTACGTCAACCCTAGAAGTCCTCCAGGAACCTTCTCACAATGCCAACAGTGGCCGCTCTGTCCACAGTTGTGAACTCCAGTGCCCAGGGGTCACAGAGACTGGGAACCACGCCCCTTTAAAAGCACCAGGCATTTTTGAAATGTCTTTTCCTGATTTCCCAGCTTGGCGAGCACACCAGCTGTCCCTTCTTGCGTGCAACTGCCCAAACAACTAGGCCAGTTACACGCTCTGGACACATGCCTGCCTGGAGTAAACTGGAGGTGTTGGATCTCCTGGGCCTGTTGGGAGAAGAAGCTATGGAGCAGTCATAGAAATGTGGACACTGACAAGCAGATTGCCTGGGGGTTGCAGGAGAAGGAGTATGACAGAGATCAGCAGCAGTGCCGCGTGAAAGTGAGGGAACTGCCACAGGCATAACAAAGTCAAGGAGGCCAACTGGCAGTCTGGAGCCATGTTGCAGACCTGCCACTTTTGCAACAAGCTACATGCCATATGTGGCAGAGACCCCACTGAACACCATGGATACCTCCAAGGATCCTGAAACACAGACCCCAACTGTGAAGCGAGGAGGAGGACCAAGAAGAGAAGGAGATTGGGAGATCTGTGGCAGGGGGACCCAGCTACGCTGTGAGCCAGGATCTTTTTGAGACTCTGCCACAGTATAGCCAGTCCCCCCAGATGAGCATGCAGGAGCACATGAAGGAACATCAGGTAAGGCTGCATTTTTTTCATTACAATTTGTAAATGGAGCCATTGCCACCTGCCCCAATCCCAAATCTAAAGGACAGAAGTATTGACTTTTAATTGTTTCTTTCTTTTCCTAGTCATACAGCTAGAGGTTGAGTGGCATCTACTTTCCAGGCTTTTGTATGCACAGTTTTGTGGGGAGGGTATGAGGAGCGGATTGTTTATGTACAGAGGAATTGTATTGTACGGGGATATCTCAAGGAAACTTTCAAAGGAGTTACTCTGTAATTCTGTTCTGAAGGTTTCTAGGGTGGCAGCCTTAATTTTTCCTCCATGGTAGGACACTTTCCCACACCAGTCCATGATGACTTCAACAGACACCATTACAGCAAACAAGCTCACAGCACAGCACCCTGGGCACCTACAGGATACCAACAGCAGCTGTCCTTTCTGTGCCTCCTAGAATCATAGACGATTAGGGTTGGAAGAGACCTCAGGAGATCATCTAGTCCAACCCCCTGCTCAAAGCAGGACCAACCCCAACTAAATCATCCCAGCCAGGGCTTTGTCAAGGTGGGCCTTAAAAACCTCTCAGTATGGAGATTCCACCACCTCCCTAGGTAACCCATTCCAGTGCTTCACCACCCTCCTAGTGAAATAGTGTTTCCTAATATCCAGCCTAGACCTCCCTCACTGCAACTTGAGACCATTACTCCTTGTTCTGTCATCTGCCACCACTGAGAACAGCCTAGCTCCATCCTCTTTGGAACCTCCCTTCAGGTAGTTGAAGGCTGCTATCAAATCCCCCCTCACTCTTCTCTTCTGCAGACTAAATAAGCCCAGTTCCCTCAGCCTCGCCTCGTAAGTCAGGTGCCCCAGCCCCCTAATCATTTTCATTGCCCTCCGCTGGACTCTCTCAAATTTGTCCACATCCCTTCTGTAGTGGGGGGACCAAAACTGGACGCAATACTCCAGGTGTGGCCTCATCAGTGCCGAATAGAGGGGAACAATCACTTCCCTCGATCTGCTGGCAATGCTCCTACTAATGCAGCCCAATATGCCGTTAGCCTTCTTGGCAACAAGGGCACACTGCTGACTCATATCAAGCTTCTCATCCACTGTAATCCCCAGGTCATTTTCTGCAGAACTGCTACTTAGCCAATCGGTCCCCAGCCTGTAGCAGTGCATGGGATTCTTCCTTCCTAAGTGCAGGACTCTGCACTTGTCCTTCTTGAACCTCATCAGGTTTCTTTTGGCCCAATCCTCCAATTTGTCTAGGTCACTCTGTATCCTGTCCCTACCTTCCAGCGTATCTACCTCTCCCCCCAGCTTAGTGTCATCTGCCAACTTGCTGAGGGCACAATCCATCTCATCATCCCAATCATTAATGAAGTTATTGAACAAGGGTTGTGAAGGGAGGTTGTGGAATCTCCATCTCTGGAGATATTTAAGAGTAGGTTAGATAAATGTCTATCAGGGATGGTCTAGACAGTATTTGGTCCTGCCATGCGGGCAGGGGACTGGACTCGATGACCTCTCGAGGTCCCTTCCAGTCCTAGAATCTATGAATCTATAACAAGAGTGACCCCTGGGGCACTCCGCTTGATACCAGCTGTCAACTAGACATCGAGCCGTAGATTGCTACCCATTCAGCCCGACTATCTAGCCAGCTCTCTATCCACCTTATAGTCCATTCATCCAGCCCATACTCCTTTAACTTGCTGGCAAGAATACTGTGGGAGACTGTATCAAAAGCTTTGCTAAAGTCAAGATATATCATGTGCACCGCTTTCCCCATATCCACAGAGCCAGTTATCTCATCATAGAAGGCAATTAGGTCAGTCAGGCATGACTTGCCCTTGGTGAATCGATGTTGACTGTTCCTGATCACCTTCCTCTCCTCCAAGTGCTTCAAAATGGATTCCTTGAGGACCTGCTCCATGA